TGCCAACTGAAATGATACTGTAATTTTGTAGAAACTAAGTAAATTGTCCCTCGATCTCAGCTTTTAGGCCCCGGTAACTAACTCAGTGTGGGGAGATGGATTTATTAGAGTGACAGCTCTAGGTGATATCGTTTGTCACTCGCCATCTACAAGAAAGCTTTTAGCAGTTCCATCTTTCGAGGACTGCACAAAAACAAGCTGATGGCGTGGTTCTGATGCTGAGTGCAGGTAGCAGGAATTTCAAAATCTAACGGACTTGAGAATCTCATTACGGTGGTACCGGAATGCCTCTACAGGTCTGTTGTGTCAGTTTCTTCGATCCTGAGCTGCATGTTTCCTGTTCATGTTCGCTGATTGTTCATTGCCACCTCATTGGATGTAATGCCCTAGTAGTCATTTTTTCTCTCACAAGTACCACTCACTAATGTGCAACGTCCATCAAAGAATTGTTGCATGGAAGAAATTCGTTCCAGTCTTGATCGCTGCTATCACTGTATTTCCACTGCACGTAAAAATATTTCGCAGGCAAAGGAAGAAATGTATGCAGATATTTCCAATAGCTTTAATCTTATTAATTCCATGATGCATTTTTGCGTAATCCTAGATAAAACTGCAATCCAAGCGTTCCTACTGCCTTAATAGATTGGTCAGTGAGTGTCCCGTGCGTCAAACAAAACATTTGCAAATCACGTACCGCAGCAAGACGCCCCGGATTAGCATCGCCCACACGCCACATACCGTAACATAAAGCTGCCGTAAAAATGAACTCGGTTAAGAGAACCTGAAATTTTCCCTTTTGAGATGGTTAGACTTCTGCTGGTAATCCTCGATCCTCATCTCCTCGAATATTTAATTCAATAATGAATGTTAATAAGTGAAAATAACAATAAAAGGTAAAAGTACTGAGACAGTTCAGACAGTCAGTATGAATATCCCAGTTTATTGGGTGCTTCCATGCGTTGTAGCTGCATACCTCTAACCCTATCATCTGATCGATGTATGGTGATAAAAAAAAAATCTAGGGATGCATTTTAAAGCTGTCAGAAGAATTCACCTAAATTTTATTCAACTGTTTAAATTGGACGATGAAATTGCTCAATTTATTCCAAAAAATGTCTCAGAAAATTTCAAAAAACTACCTCAAATCGCTACAAAATTTACCTCGTATAATTTCTGATTCTATATTTAAAAACTACTGTAGAAATTCTACTAAAAAACTTTCTTAGTAAACTCTCAGTCAGCTGACTTCTAACAAGGATATGATTAGCGGTTATCAGCAATAGATGAACAGCTCATGATCAAAGGACCTAGTATAGCTACTCGATGTCATGTGAGTGCATTCCAGTAACATCTCTTCTTGATAATCTTTTCAAACAATAGTTTTGTGAACTGTGGCAAATCACGAAAAGCACACTGTTTACCTGTGCAAGAGCGTCATATATGGATGAAGCAGTAAGACGTTGCTCCGTCATTCGATTAAGCTCAATTGTCAATCGCTCATATCTAGAAGCAAGAATTTGATGAATGCCTTCAAGTTTACATATGATTTTACATGGCATCGTTACAAAAATTCGTTGTTCCTCCACTTTCTTCTTTCCCTACCCTTCTCCTCCCATCTTCCCGTTTTCGCCCGCGATCCTGAAGTTTATCCATGTACCTCCATTAATAGTTCCTTTAAAATTGCTACCTGACCTAGGTCAAACTGAAGGGATCTAGACCCTCAAAAACCGCAAGGCAAAATATCTTCTCCCTGAGAAGCCGGGTGTAGCTATTCGGATAGCAGATGCGTAAGCTCTCCCTCTACTAAGAAAAATGCTTATTAAGTTCTCCAAAATAACCTACTTGTTGATTGTTTGTTTTTGCGCTGCAAATGCTATAACAGTTCGAATACATGAAAATGTCTCCTGTACCAGATTCGTCATTTTGGCCAGCAGTTTTTGCTCATCGTCGCGAGTTTTGCAAAACCACTGCAAAAAATCAATGCCTATCTCTTGCAGTTACGGTCACTACTAAGCCATTTTTTGTTTTTGTTAGGCGACTCTCGAAAGTTTTTTACCGAGAAACTTTCTTTTTCCCTGCTAGGCCAGTAAGTGCTTCTCGACGTTCATCGTTTTTGCAAGCAAAGTACATTCCATGGCCCATTCTGCTTCATTAGTCGCTTTTAAATATTGAGCGAAAATTTGGGTTTAAAATCCTCGAACTCTCTCAGTGGTGATAGACTGGGATTTACGTGAGTGCTTAGTAAGAGAATCGCTGGCACGCATATCTTAGGAAAAGTACGCATTAAAGA